CATATTATTAGTGACATGTGAAATTTGGAATTCACAAGCATTAGTGTTGATGAAAGATACCCTTCAATTTGTGAGGTGTTACTTTCCATATTATTGTTTCTGTTTAAAGGACTTCCGTGGCCGAGAATTGGCATTGCTCTTTCGCAGGTGTTTTTTCATAAGAAACATTCAGGATTTTTTTTTTTTTTAACTTGTCATTTTTTAATAATAGCTAAGGTATTTGTTTGGTAAATCTCTAGGGACTGTATTATACAGATCCACATCTGGAGAGTTCTCTGAGGACAATAAACGTTATTTTCTTAAAATTTCTAGGAACGATTAGCTATCTTTGAACTGTGCAGGGTCTTTAGGGGGTTCATCCGGGCCAATTCCTAGCCCGGATGAACAGCGGAAGAGCGGCTTGTGCTCTCTGCCCCTAGTCAGCCACCTAATGGGGTTTTTAGCACTGTCTGTGATTCAAATATCGCCAGTGGGTGAGTTTCAGGTGCAGTTTGCCATCTCTCATTATCTGTCCCCTATGCGTGAAGCTGCACACAGAAAGCTGCCTGAAAGCCAAAGGTCTAACTCTCAGAGGACAGCGGCCTGCAGAGGCAGCACCAGGGCCTTTCTTTCTTTCTTTCTTTCTTTCTTTCTTTCTTTCTTTCTTTTTTTTTTATGGGTTCAGGAAGCCAAAGCAAAAGGCAGAGAGCGAAGGAGCAGAGGGAGTTGGCTAAGGGCTGGGTTTCTGGATGGATTGCAGGTGAGGAAGGAGCCAAAGAGCATTCTGAGTCCTGGGAAGAGATGCCCGAGACTCTTCCCACTGAGGTCGCCTGATTCTAGAGACACCCTGGGCAATAGACCTACTTTTGAGTCTTTTGTCAAATTGATGCGAACCTTTTAACTCCTCCTTTAAAATAGGCCATATCTGCACAAAGGGTGCAAGAGGCACAGCAGATTTCTCAGAGGCTCTCTCCGCCTGTTTTGATTTAGATCATAATCATGACCATGCATTATGTATACACTGATGTACATGAGCAAATCGAAAAATGCACTTAATAGCTGACCTAAATGCTCCCTGAGCTGGCTGCGTATGTGTATTCTGGAAACTTGGAATATGACAGCACATTCTCCTTAAAAATAACCTTTTCTGTGTTTAGTGTTAAGGTTCCGAGGTATGTATCATATACTACAATGCAAGAGAGATTAGGGACTCAGCCGAAAGCAGGCTAAGATGATGTTAAAGATTCTCATTTTCTTGTTTTAGATTTTTGTTTTCCCATTCTTTGGTTGTAAATAAAAATTGTGCATCTGCTAATTTAATATCTGGAAACCTTAACATATGACAAACGTGGATGTTGAGCTATTTAAAACACTGAGTTCTAGATCTCCTAAATGTCACCATCTGGACTGGTCTTGTTAAGTCGCTTCATCTTCCTGGACTTGAGTTTTCCTTTCGATAAAAGAGGAGGTGAGGCAGGTTGAGATTCCAAGCATCTTTTCTCCATGACTGTATGACTGCCTTTCTTCCTTGTGGCCTGGCTTGGGCATGGTTGTTTTGTGGGATGCGCTGAAGGGCTGTGCTTAAGCTTTCTGATATTTGCTCAAGTTGCTCAGCGGTGCTCTGTGCGTGAGGCCTCTGTGGGTCTGGCTTCTCCCGGCTTCTTGCTGTCTCCAGTCCAGGTTGTGCTTCTGCTCCTTT